TTTCGCTGAAAATTATCCATTTCAGGCACAAAGACCCACTGTCATGAATTAAACACTTTTTCTCATTTTCATTGGGTTAACTCACATATTGGCCGATATATGCGGTACAAAGTCTCCCGGAAGTTCGAAAATCTTTATATTAAGGTAAGTATTGGTCCGATTCAACCCATTTTTGACACACAGACATATCATTAAAAGGGATGGATTTTTCTCTAATTTCAGTTATGTATATCACACATTTTCGATCAAAAGCCAACTATAGGTATCGGGGTCTAAATATACGGTATCTAGAGGCTGGACCATGTTTTATTGGATTTAAGCAATTTTTGGTCAGCGGGAAAAATTAAAAATTAAAGCTATTTCTTAGAAGATTTTTCAAAAATAGCATCTTTGTCCGTGATAAACTGACTGTTCCATAATATCATTTTAATAATTTCAATTCTTTAAAACCAACAATAAAATTAACGGTGGAGTTATTGTTGTTTGTTTGTCAACCAAAAAACCCAAACGGTGACAACAATAACAAATTCAAAGTTATTTTAAGGCAATAACAAAAATCGTTCTTTCTGCCATCGTTCACGCTCCTCACCTCCAGCGTCTATGTTCAAAGGCAGCAGGCCGCCACGTGTTGACGCTTAGGCAGGAGCAACTGCAAACTAGCAACTGATTGCTGGCGAAATTGTTGCAGCAATATCAACTGGTTGCCAACACGACACCGAACTAATATTTACTACTTGTGCGAATTATGTATGTGTGCGTGAGTGTGTAGCAGTTGTTTTTGCCGTTCTTGTAACTGTAGTAACTTTGCCAGCTCTTGGATTATTAGAATGCGTAGAATGTGGCATACAACATACTCGCACAAGTTGCAGGTAGCAACGAGGTTGGCGCGTGCCAGCTTTGGCAACGCACAGAGAAGAATTCTCGGCCTTTTAATAAAATGACAACACACACAAGCATACAGGGCTTACTAGACACACACACACATACAAACACATATAGACTTGCTGGTTCAGCTTTGACAATTCACGTGAAATTTTTCGTTTTTACTCAAAGGAAGAGATTTGTACATTCTTTGCTTGCATTCATAAATAATTATCTCTGGCGCACACATACACACACACATTAGTGTTGCATGTGTATGTGGTAGTTTCCGGGTCCATGTATGAATAAATTAATAAAAAGTTGAGATTTGCTGTTGGCTCTCGGAGTTTTATTGGTTGTCCCAACTTAGTTTTGTCCTCGTTGTAATTAGTTTTTGTTGTTGTTTTTATACTTTTTAAATTTCCAGGAATTATCTACTTCTTTTCTGTTATTAAAATATATCTTTTAATCGAAAATGTAAATTTCACTGCAATGGAGTGGAAACGAACATTACCGAGAGTTGCAGGCAATGCTCCCTTCGTGGTTATACCGTAACCGATAAAAAATCACAACAATCGGTCGAGGGTTCTTGGATGACGTTTCAGATTTTGCAAAAATAATAATTGTACTGATGAACTTGATACTCTCACATACTCTCTTTTATTACTGGAATAGTGGATTTTGGCAGTTCCTTAAACGTAAGGGTTTCTCTCGACGAACAAAGAACAAATTTTACAAGTCATTTATCATCTTCGTCCGCTATATGGTGCACGAGAATGAACGAAGACAACATTTGATGAGTCGGTGTTACAAGTTTTCGAGAGAAAAGTTCTGCGGAATATTTATAGTCCTTTGCGCACTGACACCGGTGAAGAGCTGTAGGAGATATCGTATGACGACACTGACATAGTTCAGCGAATTAAAAGACAGCGGCTACGTTGGCTAAGGTCATGTCGTCCGAATGGACGAAAACACTCCAGCTCTGAGAGTATTCGAAGCAGTACTCGCCAGGGGAAGAAGAGGAAGAGAAAGGCCTGCATTTCGTTGGAAAGTCCAGGCTCAGAAGGACCTGGTTTCGCTTGGAATCTCGGACATAACCGTATAAGCGGAGACTACGCCATTAAAGATGAAGAATCTATTCCGAAAACTTCAAACGCGTCGTCGGCGAGGAAAATTTGTTTCTAATGGCAAGACCGATTGGCTTGAAATTGTAACGCGACCTTCCTTCCTTTTGAATTCATATTCTTACTCTTTTCATTTCTGTGAATTTTGAACTCAAACTCGCAATCAAGGTACCTTAAACAGCGCACAGACCTCTTAGCACATTGGTCGCAAATCAAAAACACAAAAAAAAAAAAAAAAACTTTTTTGAGTAGTGTAGTTTTTGATAAAAATTTCACACTATAATTTATATTAACTTAAGTGAAGTGTGAACTTTCAGAAAGCCATCCTTATACCAATAATTAAGCTTTTGACCAGACCTTAGATAGTTACCAATACTCATCTACAGTAATAGTCTTTTGGGTTTTTTTATATGAGATAAGGCCCTTTTACGGAGGGCCCTTGGAAGTCGGCTACGGGAGTAAGGGAATCAAAATGGATTACCGGGTTTAGAAGAAGATAAAGTTCTGCAAAAGTTCATTCATTTTATTAATGTAGTATTCTTCAAACAACAAATTCACGAAAACACGTTTTGTGAGACTTGCAACCCCTTAAATACAGAGAACCGCTGAACAGTTTTTGGAATTATAGATGAGAATCCAATGTCCACACGATGAGCTTTAATATATTGCAAAGAAAACAATTTGGACACACTGTGGCAATATACCCTCCCACCAATGCATACACACATAAGCAGTTGCCCCTACTTGAATAATTGAAACCCTTTGGGTCCATTTAGGCACATCAACAGTAGTTGCGCTTAGACCCCAATTAAATCATAAAAATCGTCTACGTTCGGAGATAATAAAAATGTGGTTCTCTTTGAGGCAGCATTACAATGCGGCGGGCGAATAACGGTATGCGAAGAAAACTCAAGTAATGAAAGTGTCTGAAAATCCATTATTTTACAAGCATTCCAAGTGCATTGAGCAAACAAGGAAGCGGAAAGTCAGGTCGACCGATTCCAGTGGGAGAGCGCAACTGCAGTCTTAGCAATCGGTTTGTTTGTGTTTTAGTTTGCAAACAGCGATACAGTAGCGCAAGAAGTCGATTGCCTAACAGGTGTATACACTACGTCCATTCACAATAGACGCGACACAACAACTGCGACAAGTGGAGTGAGTGAGAGCTGGAGAGAGAGAGAGCGCGAGCACATGCTAAGCCACGCCCACGCTTGAGCATCTCACTCATGCATAATTGATAACGGTGAGAACGCTGGTGAGCGATAGAGAGCAAGCGAGTCGTGTGCGGCTGGCATGGCAGCGAAGCAGCAGCCAGGGCCAGAGATGCGCTATGCGCGTTGACGACAAGCACTGTTGGAGATAGTGAAGTGGCGTTTGTGCGTGTGTTTGTGCGCGCGAACCCCACCCCGTGTCAAGATGGCTGGCGCTGAGCGATTGCCCAAGATAGACAGACATTACTGTTAAGCCAAACGATGCCGTTGGATTGGACAGAGTCGCGCTATCTTTGTTGCGCCACCTTGACCTCCATATTGGAAATCGCTTGCCAATATATTCGCTGCTAGCGACACTTGGGGCTGGAGCAGCAGGCTCCATCGTTAGTTTCGAGTGTGTTGTTGTTGTTGTTGTTGTGCACGGTGGTGCAGCTACTAATGGCAGCCTTAACGCGCGATTAGGCAAGCAGCCAAAAAAATATGCTATACGCGCTTATCTCGCCACGGGGCAAGTGCGGGGGGTCTGAGCAGAGTGCTGGTAAAAAATGTACATTCGCAGGGGCGTGCGAAAATAAATCACTGAGAATTCCACGCAATAATAATAAAGTTCGTATTAGTAAGTTTGAAAACGCTTTGAACGCTTGCAAAAAAAAAAATTTTAAAACGACAAGCTTTATGGAGCTTGCCTAGAACACCGATGCCCCGCTTTTAGTTAGTATCTACGCCCCTGAGTTTGAAGTTTAAATTTTTCTAATTTTTTTCCAAGCACTCGATTGTCTTATTATTGTTTTGCCATTGTTGTGTTCAAGCGAATGGCTGGATTTGGAGAGGACTGCGAATTGGAAGGAGCGTCGCAGCCTCAGCCTCAGCTTCGCCGTGTGTTGTTGTTGTTGTTGTTGGTGGTGGTGATTGAAACTCGCCCTCAACGCTTGGCGACAGACAGCGTAGCTTAGCTGGCTGGCTGCCTAAATTGCTCGACTCGTCTCCGCTGGTGGTTGCTCGCTTCGATTTCACAACAATTCGATTTAAATGCGAATTGTCCGCTCGCCGAGTGTAACGCGCTTGTGCATCCGTCACCGTTAGTTTTGGCAATTTTTGCACTGTTGCACAAAGGCATCACACACACACGCTGCAACATATGTGAGTTCATACCGACACGCACATTTAATGACCATTTAAGGGACATTAATTTGTTCCCAACGCGTCCAGTCGGGTCAACGCAGTGACACAGCGCAGACAGCAAGCTCATCTGCCCAATCTTTCTCGAAATCGTTGTGTTGCAAGTGCAATGTGGCAATGTCGTGTTGTAATGTGAACGGTGCATGTGGTTGTTGCTGCTGACACGGCAGTGCCGAGCATTTGTTGGATTTAATTAAAAGTGTCAATTAAATTATAACCGTGAATTAAGTAGTCGATTCAACCGCAGACGAAATAAAGAGTGCGCTTCTCGAGGAGCGGGGGTAGGATGCAACACACGAAGGGCGCATGCTGCTGGTGTTTTGAAAGTGTGTTAATGACTTGGCGCACGAAGAGCGTTTACGAAAACAAAACTAATTTTTGAACCATAAAAATAATATTGACAGAAGTGAGAAAAAAAAAACCAATAAAATTATTGAAGCCACCAAAAGTTGTGCAAGCGAATGAAAAATAATAATACTGGATAACTAAGAAATCGGTTTCAACCGTCCGGGGAGCTGAAGGGCGTGTGAAAGCTTGCGCCTACAACATTCAGTTCAAGTTTCGAAGCTTCGAAGGGTACAAGCTCATACTCATACGTTTATACAGGACTCCTATCTAAGCAAATAATAATTAAATCAAAAATAAATTAAAAAATAAAAATACCTGTACTTTGTGTGTGTGGGTGTTTGAAAGCGGCTCGCACTTCCGCATTTCGTATTGATGCCAATGACTCTTTTCATGTCACTTTGGAGTTGTCGGAAGTTCCCAAACATTTGATTGAATTAATTCGTGTTATGAAGGCCAGGCCGCTTGTTCGCCAAAGTCGAGGTGAGTGCGTTTAATTACAGCTTTGCGCTGCCATTTCCAGGCGCTTTCATTTCATTAGCGTTGTCGGCTTTATGTTACTTTTTACGACACTTGAATTGTTATCGCTTTCAGCGGCGGCTTTGATCTTCCGATTTCGTTTTATTGTTGCAGTTTGTGTACAGTAAGCGAACACCATTATATTTGTGTTTGTACGTATTTTGAGATTACAAAATAGTTTACACATAGTAGCAGTTCATACATCATTTGTTTACTAATAAATATTAGTAACTTTACTTAAAGCTCTCGCAWTTTTTAGTTAAAGCTATAAAGCAACAAAAAAAAAAGATGTTTAATTTTGCTGGTGTTAAAAATTAAACAAATACTAATAGCCTATTACATATACTTTTATATACCAGGCGTCTTCTCAAAGCCAATAAGTAATGTAATCCACAAGTTGTTATGTTATAAAATATTTTTTGTAAATGTGGTAACTCTGGTGTATTTATTTTATTTATTTTTAATAGTCATTTATATTTGCTTTCCATACCACCTTACCCTATTATATTATTATTAATCTTAAAATAAAAAAATTTAATTCTTTAAAAATTATTTTTATAAAATTTGTTAATTTTGCAGCAAAAAAGTAATCCTTTGTAAAAAAAAACAAATTGCATAACATTTTTAATGATTTTAACTAGATATAGTATTTATACGTTTTCTATCTCAAAATCGTTTACTGGGAACTTCTTTCACATTTTCTGAGAAAACTTAAATGTAATAAATACTTTTAGTTTTTAGTGAAGAAACCATCAATTTTTTATTTATTTATTTATTCTTCTTCATTTGTTTCTTTATATTTGAAGAGCACATATAATTTTTTCAAAAATAATATGTTTATTGATTTATGCGTTCCTGAAGTAAAGGGGGAATGTTGCTACCTCAAGAAGAAAAATAAAGGTGGATTTGAACTATTAATACAGGGGATCCGTTTCGAGGTTCTCTACTTAAAAAAAGCATAGAAATTTCAAATATAATGGGGAATCATTCAAGAGAACATACTTTGGCATTTATTTTTTGAAGATCACCTCTTTCAAATGTTGGCCGCTGCTGCATTTCAGATGGTCCATCCGTTGAGTCTAATTTTCGACGATTTTCGCCAGCTTATTTCGTCTGGTAACTGGCGAATGACACGCGTGATATATTTCTCCAAAGCCTGAATCGAAGCCGGATTGTCTGCATACAATTTAGACTTTACTTATCCCCACAGGAAAAAGTCACATAGTTTGATATTACAAGATCTTGGTAGCCAATCGACCGGACCAAAACGTGAAATTATCTTCTCACCGAAGTGTTCTTGCAATAAATTCGTTGATTGATGCGATGTGTGGGAAGTGGCGCTGTCTTGTTCAAACAAAATTTTGCTGAGATTACGAGCTTAAATCTCAGGCATCAAACTAAACTGGACAATAATAGCGTGACAGCTTGACACAACTCATGTGTGAACTGTGAGTACCCCTACTGGGATCACCCTAGTATAGTATATTCATTTTCTATGCCAAAGTTATTTATTAGGGACTTCACTAAAATTTTCTGAGAAAGCTTAAATGTAATGTATACTATACTTTTCTTTTTTCATCATCAGAAAGCAGATACTTTGGAGACAAATATCCAGTTGAAAATTATAGTTCTGTTCTAAAATTAAAGGGATATTCTAGTCTAGAAGCCTGTATTTCGAGTATTTTTTGGCAATTAATAAAAAACAATTTATATTTTTACTATCCATTTTTTATTTATTTTATTTGTTTATTAATATTTGAAGAGTACATAAATTTAATTCAAATAAGAATGGCTTATGGGTCCTTAAATTAGAAGGGGGATGTTGTTATCTCAAGAATCATAAAATGGCTATTTAAAAATAAAGGAAGATTTTTACAACATTTTTAATTTTGTCGATTTTTTTTAAATTTTAAAATTAAAATTTTTTTTGTTGCTGCATGTGATAAAGAGACATTTAAGGCATAATCGTGCCACAATTGAAGTAAATTTTGTGACTAAAACTTGAGATACAAGTGGTAGTTTAGTATAAAACGCGTTTTAAGCTCAGCATCCCACATCGGTCTAGTTGCCACGACAGTGAAACGGCTATAACTACGAAAATAACTTTAATTTTGAAAAATCCTTTTAGGGAGTTTTTTTGGAATATCTCAACTATCGCAATATTTTTTCTATTACATTTCTAGACTACAATAAGAGAATACCTAAAAAATCGGATATTTTGACGCGAGAACATTTGATTGCAAATAGTGTGGCTTAACATCCAAAAAAAGATTAAAAAGTAAATATTTTAAATCAAAAATATTAGTAGAACATAAAACGGCCATTTGCTTAACAGAAACAGGTTTTGTTTGTGAAAGATAAAAAGAAAAACCAAAAATCTGGTAATTTGAGGTTATGTGGAAAGTCCAAATTAGTCCAAAATTTGTACCGTATTTGTATTTAAAATACGTAAGTTCAAAGTGGCGATACGTCAAAATACCGAAAAAATTTAAATATGCAACTAAATCAAAATACCGATAAACCAAAATGCCGACATATGAAAAATATATTATATATATATGTCCGTATATTTACTTTGTGAACAGCAAAGGCCACCTTTTCTACCGAAGCACAGAAAGAGAATTCCACTGATCAAGGGTTATGATCCTGAGCATTCCACTGATTAAAGGTTATGTTTATGGCCGTAGACCGAAAGACGCAAATTCAAAAGCTTAACATTCGGTTAGTGATGGTTTCTGCTTTGGAATCTAGGAACCATATTAACAAATTCTGTATTAAATGTAGTATCTTATTTAAAAATTACTTTTGTCCATTAAACTTTTTCCATAGAACTTGCAGTTTTGCTGGAAAGCGATATAAACAGTTTTTAGCCCATGAAATATCAAACACACACCCTCTCATCCACTTCCCGAGCTAAGATTTTATTTTTGTTATCATATCTTGCTCTTCCAAAGGTTTCATACTACCAAAATTATCAATCCAGTCTAAAAGAGCTCATCACTTAAACCAACAAGATATACTAATAAACCTGAATAATACATTAAAAAGTAGAAAACTGTATTTTTGAATATATATATGTATATACATACATATGTATATTATTTACGTTGCTTTCTAATTCAAATTTCCAAATTAGCTTTAAATTGCAAAAAAAAAAAATTTTTTTTAAGTATTTTTGGAAATGCTAACTTTACACTTTTCCTTTTCAGAGCGAATCTATTGAAATGTAGTGCTGTCGCCGCCAAGCTTTTCGGTACACGAACTGTGATAAAACATGTATACGAGCGATAAACTACTCTGAAAATAATACGAACACACTACCACACACACGGAAACCGTTATTCAATCGAATTGAATACGCTAGAAAAAGTATCGAGAACTCACGAACGAGATTTTAATATCAAAATCAGCGCGTTAAGTGGAAAACCGGCAAGCTGTCTGCGCTATCGATTCGGAACTTTTCAGCAAACATGCTGAACAATCTGGGCGCCAATGTCTTGGGTAAGTCGGAGCGCAAATATTTATCGACCAACAGGTAAACTCATAAATATTTGATATTCGAAATGTGTATTTTAATATTTCATACGAACTCAATTAACGGCTCATAAACAAAATGCAAATCGGCTACTGTCGCCGAAGTAAACGGCGCATTTTCGTGTGGGCGTATGGGCTGCGGGGTTGTTGTAGTTGTTATTTTTACATTTTGTGCGTCTTCAGGCAAACATACATAATTAAGATCACCCGGAGAATTACGCTAATCAATAATAATGTTTCAATTTAGCAATAGCGCAACAATAACAACAACAAAAAGTCAGCTACCACGAAGACAACAAGTAAATTAAACTAATTTTTTGTGCATACGCAGTGCCATGTGCGTGTGTGTATGTGTTTGCGATTTCCCACACCAATCCACAAGTGGCCAAGCGCTCAGGATCGCTGGAATTTTAATCAGCTTAATCAGCGCTAAATGGCGGATAATTGAGCGGCAGCAAATGTGTGTGTCAATACAAGCGGCGATGTGTGCGTGCCTAGACCGGATCCAGTAAATGGATCGAATCGGAGCTGAGGCGCACCGATCGCTGCGGGCGGACGCGTTCAGGTTCAGTGGCGGCTGCTTGCCGATGTCACAACCATTTAGCAGTGCGCCTGGCCCACTGACTCCGTTCCATGGGTGGGCGACCACTTGCCAGTCCACTTACCACCGTTTATCGCCAAAGCCAAACATTGCCGGCGGTGTTAATTGTAATAATTGCTCGGCTCAATAATTGTGGAAATTATTTTAATGCAAATTACAACTGATTGTATAAATTATACAATATTAACTTCTTCTTACCGCAATGTTAATGATTTTTGAACACTTTCGATTTCGACAAAATCACCACCTACCATTTATACATACGTATGTGAGTGTGTGTGCATTTGGTATACATTATTTACAGTTACGTATATAAATTAATGTAAATTGCAAAAACATACACGCAGGCTGCCAGTGGCCTTTACACGCATAATGCAATCGTAGTTGTTGTTATTAGCACACACACATTTACCCATATGTGCACTTGTTGACTGCTCCATTTGTTGCAGCAACGGTTGGCGGCCAATTCTGTGCTTTTACCAGCCACTTTACGGGCCAACTGCAGCGGCCGTATATTTTATATAATTCAAGTGCCGTTTTTTCAACTAGTAATTAATTACTTTAATTTGTTCGATTATTAACTTATTGCACATTTTTTCGAGCACACGCCCGAACACTTCGCTGGCAGCACACCGCATGCAAGCGCATATTATGTACTCTGGTAAATAACTATTGCGTGTAAATGTCTTCGTTTGTATGTTTGGATGTGTGTGCCGTCGATAGTGCGAGCATTGCATTTTTGTAACCTTTACGTACGCTTGTGGGGCAAATATTATATTTGACAATTTATTGCTTCGCGCCGCACGAGTTGCTGCTAATATACGAAGTAAGGCCAGAGCGATATTGTTATTTATGCTTAATAATTTTTTTTATCAAAATCTGTAAAACTGTGCAGAATCAATATTTCACTTTGAAAATATTCCACTGAATATCGACGTACCACTACACAAGTATGAGTAAGACTGTTCATAACTTAAAAATTATCAATTTCTTTCTCAAAATCTATGTCTAACTCCTCAAAGTGATCTTCTTTGGCTGCACTACACTTGTGTCAACTTTTTTCCAATCCTCGAAACAGTTTTTAAGCTCAATTTCCGGAAAAGCCTTCAATACACATAGCGATTCACGTATTAATGTCTTCAATTGACTCAAAACGGTTTCCCCGGAGCGGTCGTTCGAGTTTGTTGAATAGCCAGAAGTCACACAGAGTTAAATCGGACGAATACGGTGGTTGAAAATTAGACGAAAATCTCACGAGGAATCATTGCAGTGTGCGACGGTTCATTATCGTGGTGCAAAAACCAAGAGTTGTCGGCCCATAATGGCCGGTCGGACAAAATTCGGAGTGCACCACACTTTGATTATTGAAGAAATCTTTCCAAATATCCTTGTTTTTTGACCTGCTTTGACGTGGTTTTTTCGGCCCCGGCTCACCTTTGTTACGAGACTCGGCCGATTCATCGTTGGTTTCCGGTTCGTAAACATAGATCCAAGACTCATCGCCCGTAATAATGCATTTCATGACAACCTGGTAGTCGGAAAGCATTGTTTCACATACGTTAACGCGATGCTGCTTTTCGGAAGAATAGAGTGATTTTGAACCAATTGTGATTTCACTTTTTTTAGACCGAAATTATATTTCAAAACGATTTGCACTGATCCTCTTTATATTAGGTTGTCAAAAAAGTCTTGCGGTATTTTCGCTAGTTGGCGCTGAGATCGCGTTGTTTTAGTTTTATTCGTCGTATCGGGTCATGCTACACCTTTTTGGAAAGCTCATTTCACGCGCTTACACGTGTTTGATTGATTGACGTTTCTTTTAAGTCGTTCGTGAGTTATAGCGTCGCAAACATGGAGCAAAATAAAGAGAAAATACGGCATATTTTACAGTACTACTACGATAAAGGCAAAAATGCATCGGCCGTCCTAAACGTGGTTCGTCGACAACGCAATCTGGACCCTTGTTGACTAATTTGTGTCAATCAAAAACACGACAAATGCGACAAACAATTTCTACCAAAGGCCTTTTGCAACAATCTGAACGTTTCGGCACCAGAAATTTTACTCCGCACACAAAAATTGTCGGAACTTCTTTGTTGAACAGTATCAATCATCATAAACATCGTCGAAGACACTTTATGTATTTCAGAAGGACGAGCGCATACGAAACACTAAACGCTAAAGGCGATTTTAATGTGACATTTGGCACAGATGTCACTGACAGTCATACCAACCTAGAAAAGTATTTCGAAATTTTAATTGAAAAGTCTTATCATATTTTTACCCACAGTTGTATACTCACAACTGAATATGGGCTCTAGCTAATTTTATAGACATTACTTAGGAGTCAAACCTGTAGTCAATTTGACATAAAACGGCGGGTCTTTGCAGGTGATGGTGATTTAGGAACTAGACCTTTCTTAAACAAACCCAGATCCCTATACGCATACGACATAATCCTTTATGTTTTTAGCTTTACATGCATCTTTTAGTGAATGGCGGACTTGTATCAGAAGACGTGTAGATTCTTGACAACGTAGCTAAGGACTCTACTTTCAACAGATGGTTGCCACTGCTTAGAAGGCATGGGTGGATGAATATGTCACCGACACAGTCCAACAATCCAGCGAATGGCGCTCAAAAAATTAGCCGAAACCGAAAAAAAAAACCAAAATCACCGAAGTAAAGGCCATCCTAGCCGAACTTATACAAAAAATATGAAAATTTGGATTAGGCTTTAGCATGCTTGTACTAATTGGTTCAAAAGAAGAATACTTCAAAGAAAATAAAGAGGATCGTATCAGAATACGTCAAAATGTACTTTTTTGTCTGCCCGGTCTTATTTTGTCAGAATAAAAAAAAAAATATATATATATATACAATATCTTCGACACCACAAACCCATTCAGTAGTAGTAGTCCACATATTAGTACTTTAAGCTAAAAAAAAATTGAGTTTTAAATATTCTAGATGCGTATGCAAAGACCCGGAAAAAACTGAAAAAGAGAAGAGACAGCTAAATTTAGCAAGCTTTGGGACTTAAGGACAGTATATTTTGCTTTTTTATATTTTATATTTTATATTATATTGGGAATGATGATGTAACACAATATGAGTTTCTTTTAAAATTTATCGATTCGGCAAAAACTACAACTGAAGTGTTTTTAGGTGGTGGCATGTACTTTATTTTCAAGAATAAAAATGTTTTATGCAATTAGTGACTTAAGTATCCGTAAATCATTTAAGTTCCAACAAAATATAGTTAAAAACAACAAAACTTTCATAAAGTCTGTTTGTTGCATTTATCGAAAAAATCGCTTCTGCAATGCAGATGGAATTAGCCGGAAAGCGGTTCTAACAACAGTTATGCATGCAAATTTCACTCCGGAATGTTTGTAATGACAAATTATACAAAAACAACAACTTTCCATATATTTACAATGTCGGTACGCGTGGTAAACGTTTGTTGCCAAGCCTTTTTTAAGGTAATAAATTTCCTAATCCTTTGATCCGGCAGCAGCAGCCACAGCAAAGTCACAAAGCCTAGTTTTACGACAATGAAAATTTACATTTTTCGAAATCGCTCAACGCCGTCACCATAACAGCGCGTGCACAGTGGTGCGTATGGCACAAATCCCAGCTAAAACTGCAATATTCCTAACAGGCACTTGTGGACTCAGGTACTCAAGCTGAAACATTGCCAGCAATTAAAAGCTATTTGCATAACCAAACAGAGTTTTTGTTGCTTGTTGTTGTTGTTAGGAATGGCGAACATTTCGAAATTGCACAAACACCAATTGAAATCCCGTTTTGCATGCAGCGGCAGAGCCAAAAATTTGCGTTTTCCCTGCTTTGTCGCCTAAATTGCTGCAACACTTTTATTCGGCGTAGAATCGCTAGCTTTGCCTGCATGTGCACTCCCTGCGTTTGTTGTTGTTGCCGTCAGTATTAAGTGAAAATTCCACGATTTATTCTATGTAAAAACTTTTTAATGCCACCGACAGCCGACAACAGCACAACGACTGAGTGGCACAGCGAGCGGCCAACGGAAATGGCGTCAACAAGTCGGCTGGCGAACGGTGAGTGCAAATGCCATTGATTGCCAACTGCCGCAAGTCTGTTTGTGCGACGACGTTTATGCCAGCGCGACTGTTGTTGGCAGGCGCAAAAGGATTAATTAAATTAATTTCACAATTGCATTTGTAATTCGTTGGACTTAATTTTACGCACCGCTTTGCTGCTGTGCACCGTTATGTGCACATATGAGCCGCTTAGTGCTCCGTGCGCATACACCGGTTTCGCTTTTGTCGCTGTTGTTGTCATGTTGATTTGCCGCTATTTTCTACGCAGCGATTCAAATTCAAAT